ATTATAAAAGAGCCTAATCATTATGCTGAGCAATCAGGTAATGCTGTTGGTAAAAGAAAACTGAAAGACAGAAGAGAATGGAAACCTGTATCACCATATGAAATGCATTTGTTCCTTGTGCTAACAATTTTACAAGGTATAATAAAAAAAGCTTAGAAAAAAAGCATGTATTGGACAAAGAAAACTATGGAATGGAAACTGCTTTTTTCTATAAGATTACATCATATAATCGATATTGTGAGATAAAAAAGCACTTGCATTTTGTGAACAATGATTCTCATGGTCCATAAAATCATCCTAATCCAAAACTCTACAAAATTTGGCCTATGCATTTGAATGAAGTCTATCAAACAACAATTACCCCTGAAAGATATTTACCGTAGATGAAAATTTGATATTGTTCAAAGGGCATTTATCCTGCCACCAATAAAAACCACCCTTGAAAAAAGGAAAATTTTTTATCAAAACATACATGCCAAGAGAATCTAGTATTGGTTACATATGGTCATTTATTATACATACGGGGATAGGTACTTTATTTCATCCTAAATTCCAATCTCAATTGGTACCTTCACAAATTATGACTTTGATGATGCCATTATTGAAACAAGGCTACTGTATCAAATTAAATAATAATTATACTTCACCAAAGTCATATGATATCCTTTTGACTTATTAAACATATGTGATTGGAATTACTAAACAAAACAAAAAAGGATTTACCTTTAGTATTAATAAACAAAAAATTAAAATCTGATGAAGTTATATCATTTAGACATGGAAAAATCCTCGCTCTGAAATGGAAAGACAAAAAGGATTTACCTTTAGTATTAATAAACAAAAAATTAAAATCTGATGAAGTTATATCATTTAGACATGGAAAAATCCTCGCTCTGAAATGGAAAGACAAAAAGGAAGTGGCAATGTTATATTTTCATGATTCTGAAACTGTTGAGGTAATAACAAAAAGTAAAGAACTGAAAACAAAACCAAAGGTCGTAACTGACTAGAATAAAACAATGAGAGGTGTGGACCTTGTAGATCAATACATTTCTTGTTATCATGTAGCCAAAAATTGAATAAGGAAATAAAAAGAAAGGGATAAAAGAAAACCCAGCCACAGAATGTAAAGTGTGTTCATTTAAGACTGCAAATGGGAAATGAATTAGGGGAGAAACAAGGTATTATTGCAAAGACTGTAATGTAGGACTACGCATACCCTGTTTCAAACTTTATCACGCTCAGAAAAATTATAAATTAAAAAAATTCTACAGATAATATTGATGTTGAATAAAAGCAACATAATCTTCAGATAAGGCTGTCCATTATTTAATGCATACACAACTTTTCTCTCTCCAAAAATGACATATATTTTTTAAATGCCTGCATTGAAACTTTTCTGTTTACCTTGGCTGTGTGAGGAAAGCCAACTATAAGGTAAGTTGATAAAAATTTTATATATTTAAAAAATCGTTAAATTGAAGGAAAAATATAGTGTTATTTATATGAATCTATTTTGAATTTTAAATAAACATTAAAAATCATCTATAAAAAACTTTATGACTTTTGAACAAATTTTGTCAAAATTGTATGACAGGTTAAGGAGTTAATAACAGATCAAAAATCATTGATTGCAAAACATGAATTAATGGAATTCTACTTTGTAGAACAGTGTTAAGAACACTGAATGATGGCAAAATGAATTGGACAAAAACAGCTTTGTTAAAGTCTAAAGACAAAAACATACATTTTTGTTCTTCACAAGTAAGAGATTGATTTTTTTTTTTTTTTTTTTTTTTTTTTTTTTTTGAGAAAATTTCTAGCTATCAGTAGTACTTCTTAGCTATCAAATTCTTAACTATCAGAGAAATTCTTAGCTATCAGTAGTACTATTTTGAGATCTGCCAATTAAATTGCTCACTGGTGCATAAATTCTTTCCAAACCTTTTTTTAACAGTGGAAGTAGTAACTACATCTCCATTTACTTTAGGTATTTTATAACTTTCCACAGAGCCCTTTATCTTAACTCTAGAAGCATTTACTTCTTTCAAAAATACAAGAAGCGGGTTTTATTGGTCGCAAATTCTAGATAAAAATTTCCTTAAAGATAGTCAGCATGTACATACATGTTTCTTTCTTTCTTTCTTTCTTTCTTTTTTTTTTCCAGTATTATGCACCTGTTGAAAGTGTTTCAATTTTCCCTCCATTTTATAACTCCTTTCAAGATAATAATAAATATCAATAACGTGTTAATCAACACTTACTGTTAAAGAAGCTGCCCCTTTATTTAGCTGATAATTTAGAAGTGACAGGTGCACCTATTTTCCTTCTTTAAGATGCTTGCAACACTAGTCTTCAAGCCTACCATTACTGGTGCAATATCGGCACTAAGTGCTATGCAATTATCCAAAGGAACTTCATTTTCTTTCAAAGTTTTCATATTTAGCTGAGCTACATTAAAGTCTGTAGAACGTTCTTCTAAAGAGAGGACAAAAAGTAAACTATACTCAATTTTTGAAGACACTGGATTAAAAAAAGAAACGATAATTGGATACAGTTTCAAATTGGTATAACTGCTTCCATTCACAGAGAGAGAATAGAACTGTTTTGCTGCAATCAATAAATTAAGATTTATTTTTCATGCACATTTCTTTAACAACTGCAGTTGTTTTGGCCTTGGGTATAGTGATTTTGCTATCAGGAAACATTTTTCTAAATAAAGCTGCAGCATGATCTGATGCATTCAGTGGCAGATTGTGCTCCAGTAAAAAGGCTGAGAACAGGCATCCTGCATTAACTTTTTTATCCTTTGTTTCCACAGAAAAATTTAATTTTTTTAATAGAACTCATGTTGACTATGTGTTTTTGTGTATGCATACATTTGCGAACATTATCCCTTGCACCATGCAAAATCAAAAAATCACAATGACAAACAGTACACATTATGCAAAAGTATTACATTTCCTTGAGGAAATAATAGAAGGAATGCCATCTGTGTATGATTTTTGAAAAGTTCGTGAGTATTTTACTTTTTTTGCAGACATAACTAAAACAAAACATGATAATTTCTTTAACTATTTTTCAAAAGCATGTGCACTCACACAGCTCAGCAACAAGATGAATGAAATAACAGCCTCGAACTTGCTTTGTGTTTGTTGGCTAATATATGCCAGATGACATGTAGTGGTGCTCGATGCTCACTGGAAAAATGGAACGCAATATTTTCAGATGCAGATACTTTCACTCACAAAGCAGAAGCGCACCATAATTTCCCACTGACAAACAACTTACTTTTAGATTTTTTTTTTTTTTTAAATATTAAAGTAACAAACGAAAGTAATAACGAAGTATTAAGCCAAGCTACATAAAAATCCTCAGAAATTTTAAGAATAAGAAAAAGTTGGGAGAAATATGTTGTAAATCGGGTTGGTAAGAGAATGACTGGAAATCAGAAGAATCGGCAACTCTGGTGTTGGCTTCTGTAAGCACGATTTGGAGCCATTTTTTAAACTTTATTTGCACTATTAAAAGGGTCCTTTACATCCTTTCCATATCTATTTAGTACTTATAAGACATGGTGATAATTCACCAATTGTCTTTCAGTGTTTTGGTCTAGTATATACACCCTAAGACAACCAAATTCTAAAAACTGTAATATGTTGTAATAAAAAGAGAGACTACTTAACAGAACTAGAATCAGTGATAAAATTTTTGCAGCAATTAAACGAGGACAGTCTTTAAAGTGCAATATAAAAACAAGAAAATTTATATATTATTCCCCTATTACTCACACTGGGAGTTGGAAAAAAAATGTCATACAACTGAGAAATATTTAACGGAGAGGTAACTGAATTTCTCTTCAAAAACTGAGTTTGGAGATCTCTCATGAGAAAATCCTAAGGCTCTTAATTATAATAATTGCAATTAATTGAATTTATAAATAAGTATCCTATACACTCCAAGAAATTTCATCAAGAGTCTTTCAAATTGATGAAAATTACATCTATTGCATTTGAAACAAAAGTTTTGATGAGAAATTACACATAAATTTCATCAATGGAAGATAATAATAATTCAGAAACATAGTTTACATGATTTAAGGAATGTTTGAACTAATGTAAAGGAAGATTAAGATTAGTAATTGGATATTTTAATAAGTGAATTCTTTTATATATTGAATTTCCCTTCTTTTAGAAAGTTGTTAACTGCTGTAAGTAAACATTTTAACAACATGGTCAATAATCAGAAAACTATTCACATCAAATCTAAAAATTTATTAAAAATAAAGACTATGAGAAAAGACATAATGAAAAATATTTAAGAAAACAGGAAGAATATACTTTCATAATTACATAACTGAACTCAAAATTGAGAATCATCTCTGCTTTCAGCATGCAATAACAATAAAATTATTACTTATTACTATAAATTACTAAAATACAAAACTAAGATAATGAAGAATTCATCAAATATAACAGTAAAATCACTAGAATTGGGTGTTTATGTGTTTATGATCAGACTGATCAGGTGGTATGTAACACATTATCTATGATCTAATACAGGGGTTCTCAAACTTCCCCCCACCCATGTACACCTTTCACGATTACTAGAAGATCATTCCCTCCTCCATTCCATAATTCAAAAAATAGATACATACGTTTATCTCGGTTTAGATGACTTTTTAATGTGTTTATAAACTAAACCACAAAAGTGTAGAAAATGTTAATGAATGCTAAAACTTGATTTTTTTAAATATATTCATAAATTAAATACTTAACAGTTAAATAAAAGGCTGATTGCATTCCCCCCTGAAACTATAATATTCCCCCCATTGGTCGAGAACCCCTGATCTAGGAGAATGTATGTAAAGCATTATTATGCTATACATTTTACATAGTTTTTCTGTAACTTGCTGGTATCTATATATAGAAACATCATCTGCAATTTCATCATTAGAAGCAAACATTTCATAAGAACATCAGAAAATAAAATATACATACCCTTAAAATAAGTCTAGAAACTAAATTTTGAAAATCTTCTGGTGATAACACTATGTACATAATAACTTCACATAATTCTTGCAAATATTCTGAAAGCACAGGAAACATTGCTCTTTAATTCGTAAATAAAATTCACATATGGAGAAAAATTTTCCTTCTAAAATTCACAAATTTGAATCCCACATATGTGAAATTTATAAAAATTCTAGAGGGATTAATATTAGTAAACTCACTCAACTCTATGTATGTAAAAAAGCATTATTTCCTATTAAATATACATTTCAAATAATGTATTTACTTTCACTGCATCTGCAAAAGGCAGTATCAATTAAAACTAGTCTAAAAGTGAGTGCATTTATTATCTTTCTCATATGGAGTTCAAAACAAGGGATATCCAAACAGTTGCAAATTTCACCATTTCAGTAGAGAGTTATTTGACCACAGATTGATATATTTAATCTCTAATAAGGGGCATGTGACAAAAATAGCTACAGAATGGTTGATATCAGATACCACAAAATGGCCGAAATACTTAAATTTAGACATCATCTGAGCACTGCCTACTTATGACCTTATTCAAAAAGGCCTAGGCCAGAAACCCCACATTTCAGGCCCAAAAGCATCCTATAAATTTTAGTTTCTTTTTTCACGGAAACAAGGATGAAACAAGAAACCAGAAAAGACATTGTATCTAAGGCTCCAAAGCTTCTTTAGTCAGATTCTGCATGGAAGTGCAGCAAAATCAGCAAATTGGTTATATAATTAAATATAATAACACATTATTTATAAAATATTATTTATCAAATATAATGAATATGAAATTTATATGCATTTCAAAGCATACTAAAACAAAAGTTTTCAATATTTAAGCTCACCTTTTTATTTAAAATGCATTATTTATATAAAATATAAATAAAATTAAAAACAAAAGGAGAAAAAAAACTTGAGAAGGAGGAATGACTTTCTGATGCAAGGTGAGAAAGGGTACCACTATTCTATTATATTAAAGAAAACATATAATTAAATACGACATCAAATATAAATTAAAGATTAATGGCTTTGGAGTAAAAGTCATAAATAATGTGATTCAGAGGTAAGCACGATTCTTAAAAATCACTGGTGCAAATTCTGCAAGAGCTCTGCAACTCTCAAAGTTGAAGTACAGTACAAATTCCGAGATGTAGATTTGTCGGGACTTTCGCAATTTGGGATTTTTCCGGATATTCAATCTTTGGTTTAAATTTAGTAAGATGGCATGTAAAAGTTATAAAATTAAAAATATGAAATTGTGATTTATGAAATAATGAAGCATTTATGACCTATGTGTTTTAAAATTTACAAAAAAAAAAAAAAAAAAATCTTAACATCTGTTTTTTTTTTTATTATTAAATATTTCTTTCAATTTCTAAGTTGTTCCATTTTTTATGCTAATACTTTCTCCTTAATTCTGTATACATGTATAATTTCTTGTTCAGTTACATTGCTGAAGACTGCTGTGTCGTAACTGCTGTGCCTGTAACTGCTGTTTCGAGAATTCCAACTATTAACAATCGGAAATTTTTTGTTTTTAGTAACCTCTCTGTTACATTCTTCACTACCGGTAGTGGTATTTTCTGTATCTACAACCATACTACAGATTTCGCCATCCATTGATTGATGATTCATCCGTTTTGGGGCAGAGCTGGGCAAGAGTAGCATTGTCATCACAATGATAAACTTCCTTTATATCATCTTCATTTATTACCACTTCTACACATTTCTTTACAAAATCCAATAATTGGAAAATTTCAGCTTTAGTTTGCGATATCCAAAAACCTTTAAAATTCAGGGCTATCATTGTAAAATGTAGCTATCGTTCACTGTACATATTTGGCTATGTATCATGAGATTGCCGACTAAAGACAAGTTGTTCCGCTAAATTTTATCTTGCTTCTATCACACACTGAGACAATTAAGTTTCAATTGTATTAGTTTAGTTATTTATTAAACAATACGACTCCAACTATCCGAACTCGGACTATTTGGATTGCTTTCAGAATTTTTCAGAATCAACTGAACAGGAAAAGGAGAATAAGGAAAAGAACCATAAGGAAAGAAAGGCTATGACAAGAAGATGAGAATGACATGCCACTTGAGAAATTAAGAAACATTCTTTTGAAAATTCCTTGATGATCATAAGTTAGTACTGAGGATATAGCAGAACGGATGGTGTGTGATTTGTCAGACCCTGGTTTTTCAAATTCTAAATGATGACGAACTTATTGAAAGTATAAGAGAAGATAACATTAATGTCAAAGTTGAAGCACACATGGGACCATCAACTAGTGAAGCGTTTGCCCACCTCTAAACTGCATTGAAGGATGAAGCGTCAGCCTGAGTGTGACCACATGCAACTTCTCATTCTCAAGCAGATGCACGACATGGCTACCCCAAAACGGATGAAGACAGTCAAACAGCTTCCTTTCACCAAGATGTTCAGCAAGCAATGACATTCAGCACTTGTAAGTATACTGTACAGTACATTATATAACATATAAACAGCATAAAAAAAGGAGCAGTTCTATATCTCATGTTCTACTGGGCCGACTGATGAAATTCAAATCACATTTTTCATGTCTCGAACGCGCGACTTAGGATATACATTAGATTTATACATAGCATTGTTCTAATATAGGTATTTTGACAAAAAATCAGACTTTTTTTAAATGATTTGCTAATTTTTTTCCAGATTTCAATTATACAACTCTAATTATACCAATGTGCCAAGTTTTGTAAAAATCACAGGAGTAGTTTTTAAAAAATTAGCTCTCAAATTTCTAGCTTCTCAATGTTAATTGAATATGTCATATATTTATTAATACAGTCAAAAGTCATTAATCCAGACTCGTCGGGACTTTGGCGATTCCGGATTATCGATTTTTCCGGATTATAGATCATCAGTTTAAATCGCATAAGATGGCATGCAGAAATTCTAAAATTAAAAATATGAAACTGTAATTTATGAAATAAAGAACAATTATGATCTAAAGGGTATCAAAATTTACAAAAAAAAAAAAAAGCTTAATATTTATTTGTTTACTTTATTAAACATTTCTTTCAATTTAAGTTGCTTCGTTTTTATGTGATAATACTTTCTCTTTAATTCTATAAACAGACATAATTTTTTGTTCAGTTACAAAGTTCCGCTGTTCAAGTCCCGTTAATTGCTGTGCCGAGAATACCGACTAACTTGTCAATCGAAATTTTTTTCGTTTTCACTAACCTCTCTGTCACATTCTTCATATCTTTATCCATTTTTTGCAGCAATTCCACTTTTTGTTTGGATGGACATCGAAACACACTTTCATTTTGTACGATCTTTGGGAGCTCCAGATTCGGAAATTCTATTTGACATAATCGAAAGTTCAAGTTTACTTTTATAATATTGCTCTTTCAGTCTGCAAAAAATAATAAGCCGGATCCAATTCGAAAATTGAGGAACAACGCAATCATCAACATTAACTGAAATAGATAATTAGATAATTTTAGCTTATACCATTCGTTATACATAAAACGCGGACGCGAAAACGTATTCTGCGCTTGCGAACACGCAAATGCGCAGTCGTAAGTGGTCTTACGCGCATGCGTAAACGCCTATGCGCATGTGTCAACGCGGCGCATGCGCAGAAAGTTTTTAACTTTGAGGTCCGGATTATGGGTGTCCGAATTAACGACTTTTGACTGTATCTCATTTTTTATTAAACTTACTTGATTCCTTCTTCCAGAATTCGAAATCTAGGTTGCTTTCAAATAAAATTCGCTTTATTATGATTTATTTCCAAAATTTGTGTTTTTAAATCATTTTTTAAAATTTTTTTAAACAAATTTTGAATTATAACCTATATTTTTTCCCATCATCTTAAAGTAGATGTATCTACTTTAAGATGAATGACCTGAAAAAAATAAGTGTTTTTTATTCAAAATTCCCAAAGATATATATATATGTGAATTTACATATTGGAGAGTTTTGAAATTTGATATATTTGTTATAATTGATAATAACGCCAAGTATCGTTTATGGACTTTGTTAAAATTATTTTAAATAATGAACGATTATTTTTCTCACTCGTTTACAATGAAAAAAAGGAAAAGAAAATAGGTTGCTAAAAATTAAGAAGTTTGCCGAATGAATTATACTTGATGCAAATTGAAAAAAATGAGCCAAGATAATTTTTTGAATTTCTCCAAAAATTTCGCACCAAACTTTACAAAATTTAATGTTTAGGCATAATTTGAGTCATAGAATCGAAATATGGGAAAAAAATTGGCATGTCATTTCAGAAAAAGGTTTGATTTTGTGTCAAAATACCTACATTAGAACAATGCTATATATAAATCTGATATATATCGTAAGTCGTGCTTTCAAGACATGAAAAACGTAATTTGAATTTCGTCAATCAGCCGAGAAGAATGGGAGATGTCACAGTGTGTATAAAAATGGTGCCTTTTCATTTTAATTAATTAAAACTTCCTTTTTTTAAAAAAAACAGTTTTTTTTTCCCTCCTATTTTCAACATAAGTATATATAGTAATTAAAGTGTATGTAGATGGCTTCTTCGGAGAAAATCCAATTATCCGAATAGGCTCCGATCCCAATTGGTTTGGATAATTGGAGGTCTACTGCACTTATGTCTCCTTCCTGCACATGCTTAAGGCTTATTAGAGACCTGAATAAATAAATTTCATACATATACTTAAGGCTTATTGAGGGCAATAACATATCAAGTGTGATATCAAGTATCTCTGTGGGTCTTAAATTCTACTGCCCTGCATAATGATATATTCTACTGCATATGAGCCTTGGCTCTAAGTTTATGTGAATAACAAATCAGTTATTCTTAATCCAAATTTCACTAATGGGTATCATTAGCAAAATCTATTTTTAGCATGTGGAAAGAAATTCTTGTTAAATGTTTCCTCATCATCATTTCTTAGTGCATTTTACTTCAATCTGTAATCAGCACTAAATGTAATGTCAACATAAAAAGTTACCATACTCTTCATTTTTCAATTACTAACATAATAAAATTGTTTATGCATCACTACATGA